GCCTATTCTGAACATTTCATATAAATGGAACCATACAATACATGGCCTTTTGTGACTGGCTGCTTTCACTTAGCCTCTTTTCAAGACTCATTCACGTTGTAGCAGGTCAGTATTTTGCTCTTTTTCTATGGTGGAATAATACTGCACTGACTGGATCAGCCTCGTTTTGTTTGTCCGTTTCTCAGTGGATGGACATTTGAATTGTTTCCACATTTTGGCTCTTGTGAAGAATGCTACTCTGAGCCTTTGTGTACAAATTTTTGTGTAGACATAAGTGTTCTTTTCTGTTGGGAAGAGACCTAGGAGTAAAATCATATAGCTCCTGTGTCTATGTTTTTGAGGAATTGCTCAACTCTTTGTTTCCAAAGTGGCTGCCTCATTTTATACTTTCACCAGCCGTGTCTGAGGGTTCCAGTTTCTCCACACCCTCGCCAGCACTGGTTACTGTCCATCTTTTTTGTTCTGGCCATCCTAGTGGTGTGAAGTGGTATCTCATTGTGGCTTTGATTTGCATTTTCCTAAAGACATGATGTTGAGCATCTTTTCTTGTGCTTCTTGGCCATTTGTATATCTTCTTTGGAGAAATGTCTATTCAGAGCTTTTGCCTGTTCTTTAATTGGGCTGTCCTTTTATTATTGACTCAGAAGAGTTCTTTATATGTTCTAGCTACAAGTCTCTTACCAAGATGCGTGACTTGTATTTTCTTTCATTCCGCTGTCTCTTTCACTTTCCTGATGGTATCCTTTGAAGCATAAAGTTTTTCATTTTGATGAAGTCCATTTTATCTACTAGGTGTCATTTCTAAGAAACCAATCCAAGACAGCCTGTTCATTTTTAACCCCTGCCTGACCAGTCTGTTTTCTCTATGCTGACTGGCTGAACATCAACCATTATGTCACAGGTGAGGAAGGACTGACTGGAAAGGAGGTGGGCTGAGGCCATGTGGGATCAGAGTGCTGATGAAGTTCTGGAAAGAAAAAGCCCCAGGCGAAGGGATGAGGGAGCAGCCACTAAGACCTAACTCTCTTGTGATGGGTTCTCCTTGGCAGGTCACGTTGGTGAACTTGTACCATTAAATGCACCCTTTGGCTGCTATTGCCGTGAGCCTTTGGAGAAATTGCTGAGGGCCCCACAAAGCTCTCCCGTCCCAAGTACCCCTGAGAACCTAGGCATTTAGGTTCACAGCCTGCTGTCCTTAGAGATGGGCTGTGGATCTGAGTGTCGCTTCCATGTATCAGAACGACAGGCTTGTGCACTGTTTGCTAGGGGCCATTGTTCAGCAGACTAGGCTGGGTTTCTCTGTCCCTGAGCTGTCACAGGTTTCTTGCACGAGGACTTGGGTCTCTCCTGGTAAACTGCCACAGGTAGAGCTGCCTTTAGAGGACCACAGTTCTTGTCATTTGAGGGCCTTGAGTCTTTACCCCTTCAGCCTCTGGTTCACTCCACCCAGCATTTTATTAGGTTGCCTTCTGTGGGCCAAGCCCAGGCAGAAAGCTGCAGAGAAAAGAGGGGGCTGCAGGCTCAGGGACAGGGCAGTCAGACAGGGTTCCTAGCTGCTCGGAACTGCAGTTCACAGCACGTTAGCATGTCCTGGGAGCTTTACAGAAATTGGAAGCCCAGCTGCCCCCGACCAACCTCATCTTCAGCCCTGAGGGTGGGTCCCGCATTGGCAGTTGGAAGAAAGAGTTTCATGGGTCAGGACACTGTTCTAGAAGCTCAGAATTGGGCAGAGGGGGAAACACATGAATGCCAGAAGTGGAATTTGATGTGCCCTTGTTTCAACAACAGCTAGTACTCGCTGCTTACTTCTGGACCGTGGGCCGATCTCATTGAATCCTCCTAACAGCTTTGTAGGGTATTAGTTGTTATCACCCCATTTCACAGGTGACTCCACTGAGGCCCAGATCACAATCAGGGAGTGACGAGGTCACCTTTCAGTCCCAGGCACTCTGGCTCCTGAGACCTGCCTTCATCTGTCTTCTAGAACTTTCACACTTCTTGGGAAACAAGCTGAGGTCACTTTCTCCTGGAACTTTCTAACCTGTCTCGTGACCTATCATACTCTGTGGAGTAGGAGAGGAGGGACCACAGGATCAACCCTTAATTACAGGTGCTCGCCTGGTAGGATGACACAGGAGATGGGCCCCCAAGTGCAGTTCTAGGCTAAGCCACCACCAGTGTCATCTTCAGTGGTACCTGTGTGCCATTTCACTGCCTTCCTGTGCACCAGAGTGCCCACCACCCACACAGATGGGCCCCCACAGGGTGCCTCTCTGCTGCTAGGAAAAGGTCACCCAGCCCTGGGATGCTGGCAGAGAGAGCATATCAAAGCCCCTCGGAATTAAGAAGTTTTCTCATTGAGTGGAATTTCACAGCCCAGTGGCCAATTTCTAAGTCATGCACGTTAATGGGCAGCTAATGAGGGACCCAGGCAGGGTCAGGGAGGCACAGGAGCTGAGATTAAGGAGTACAAAGCCAAAGCCTGCTGCACTTTCTCCCTGCCTCAGGGGTAGCTTTGGGAGAAAGCAGATGATGGGGCTGCTTTAGAAGGCCTGGGAGAGCTACACCTACCTAGTTGCTGCATGGGCTCCACCTGCTGCCCCACAGCCTCTCCCCCCCTGCCATGCCCCACACCAGCTTCAGACCCCAGTGCAGTAAGAAAGTCCTTTCCCAGGATCCCCAACCTGGGTCTCTATCCAGAGCACCTCGACCCCAGAACACCTCAGACTTCCTGGGAACATTGGCTCATCCCCTGGGCTGAGCCTTTGATCAGGGATTCCCCACTCCCCTGAATGTCTTCCCTGGCCACCTTTCACCAAAGGTGCATAGACGTCTCAGCTCCCAGCACCTCTTCCAAGAAGCTCCTCCAGACTTCCCTCCCTCCTGGAGTCTAGTGAGGCACTTCATCTCGCATTAGACCGTGTTTATTTGTCTAGTTTTGGTCTGCCCGTGGTCTTTCCCCTCCTCCAGAACTTTCTGTTTCACCTCTGAATTCCCAGAGCCTGGCATGCAGTAGGTGCTCAAATCAATTCATGTTTGTCAAGTGACTGACTGAATGAGAACACAGATCCCAGGTATGTGGGGTATAGTGCCCTGAATGGTGACCCCTAAAAGATGTTTGTGCCCCACCCAGAGCCTGTGAATGTGAAAAGGGGTCTTTGCAGGTATAATTAAGGATACTGAGATGAGCTCATCCTGGAATATCTAAGGGGGCCTAAATCTAATGACCACTGTCCTTATAAGAAGAGGAGAGGACATAGACACAGGGAGAAGGCCAGGGGAAGACAGGCAGAGGTTGGTGTAATGTGGCCACAAGCTAAGAAACATCTGGAGCCACCAGAAGCTGGAGGAGACAGGAAGGTCCCTTCCCTAGAGCATTTGGAAGGAGTGCGGCACTGCTGATACCTTGACTCAGACTTCCAACCTCCACCAATCAGAATAAATTTCTGTTGTGACAATTTGTGATGGCAGACTCAGGAGATTAACATGTTGGGGAAAACATTTGACGTTCCTTTCTCTCTTTTCTAGAGTCTGTTTACACATCCCGCCATCTATTCACTCACTCACTCACTCACTCACTCACTCACTCACTCACTCATTTAGCACTTCCTCTCCAGGACACTGTCAGAGTCAGGGCATGCTGTGGGAGACAACATGACATTGCAGACTTTGAGATAACACAGGGCTGAATCCCAGTCCTGTCACTTGCCAGTGATGACCTTTTTTTTAAATTGATTTTTTATATTTTTTAGAGAGACGGGAAGGGAAAGAGAGGGAGAAAGAGAGAGAAACATTGATGCAAGAGTGAAGTATAAGTCGGCTGCCTCCTGCATGCCCCTCACTGGAGATTGAACCTGCAACCCAGGCATGTGCCCTGACTGGGAATTGAACCTACAACCTTTTGGTGTACAAGATGATGCTCCAGCCAACTGAACCACCTAGCCAGTGGTGACCTTTTGAACCACTGGCTTCTCCAGTTCCTGCTCTGTGCAAATATGGCAGCAGCCCCTTGGGATTGGGTGAGTGCTGGTTCACAGTGAGCACTGCTCCCGTGGTGTCAGTGTAAATGCTACCAGAGACGTCGCCCACCTGAGCTCCTAGGCCATAATCCTGCTTCCTTCTCACTGGTGCATGGTGGAAGGCTGGCCCCACTGCAGGTCAAGCGCTTATTGGCCACCTGCTCTGCAGAGCCCTCAAAGGTATGAAGAGAGTGGGCCGCAAGGAGGTAACAAAGTCAAGAGATTGAGACTGTTAGAAACCACGTGGAGAAAATGTGTGGGGCTGATCAGGTGAGGTTCTGGGCATTGAGAATGTTTAACGGAGACAGTGGGGACCCTGCCCCAGCAGTATCAGCACCATCTGGGAGCTGGTTAGCAAAGGTGGTTCTCAGACCCCACCTCAGACCCACTGAATCAGAAACACTAGGGATGGGGCCCTGCAATCTGTGTTTTAACACCCTGGAGGGGCTTTGAGCCTGAGTGCCAGGGATAGACAGTCACATCTGAATTCAAGATCTGACCTTCCTGGGCCTGCATTTTCCAGAACAAGAGCATTTTTTATACTCTACCATCTTAGTGGACAACATGTAGGGTTGGATCAGCGGTCTCTATTCGAAGTGTGGTCCGGGCCCCAGCAGCACCTGCCTCCAATAGCTTGTGAGAAACGTGAACTCTCAATACCTCTTGTGCAGGAATGAATAGGAATCTGCGTTTTACAATACCCCCAGGTGATTCTGTGTGCGTTGAATTGGGAAGCTTCTCCACAGAGTACCTCCTGCCTGCCTGGGCCTTCATATGCCTTGGTCTACAGTTTCCTGTACCCCACTGCGAAGCGAGTATACAGACCCCCTGGTGCAGATGGGAAACTAGGCTTGTAGAGATGTTGCTAAGAAGTGGCAGACGCTGAGCTCCAAGCTGTTTCTACCCCCATCCCTCAGACTTGGGGTCTCAGACAGGCATGGAAGGAGGAGGCATTGGAGAAACTGACCTAGGTCAGTTTATGAGATCAGGTGTACCCCCTTGATCTCTCCCAGCTGAACTCCCTTTCAAACTCCTGCAGTCTGGGAAAGACCCACCCCCGGGGAGGCGCCTGTGCTGGGGTTGGGGAGCGGAGGGAGTCTTAAGACTTCTCAGGCCAGAAGTCTCAGAAGCTGCAAATTCTTGGGGCAGATGGCTCTGACTTCATGTCACTGTTCCCCTAGGTTTTGGGACATGACCCAAACACATGCTCTTTAGGACTCCCTTAATTCGTGACTCATTCATTACCCACCCCAGCAGAGCTAGACTCTTCCTTCTTCCACCCCTCCGGGCCCTTGAAATGCATCTGAACCACCTGGAGCAAGCCTGAGTCCCTGTTCATCCCCGGTAGCCAAGGACTGTCACCTTGAAGTCTGCATTTGGTGGTAAGGACTAGGGCTGTTGGAGGGGTGGGGAAGTGGAGGGGTGAAGGCAGCCATGGGGAGGAAGGAGTTGGAGGTTTGGAAGAAAAGCGGAGGAGGGGTCCGGTGGGAGAGCAGGAGTGGGGATAAAGGGCTAGAAAGCTAGAGGGGGAGGGAGAGGAGGAGGGAGTGACATTTCTTGGGGTGGAAAGCCATGAGGACCAGAAGTGATGGGCCAATGCGTGCATAAGGTAAAGAGGGAGCTGAGGCACAGGAAGAGGGAGATGTGGTAGCTCTGACAACTGGGGGGGAGACCTGTTGCAGCCAGAGAATGATACCATCTGTGAACTGGGAAGAAAGCTCGAAAACTGTCCCCTCTCTCCACCCCACTGCTGCTTCTAGCCATGGAGCGACAGGCCCCTGGAAGCAGAGGCCTTTTGGAAAAGCCTGCGGCCGCCAGCTCAGGTCTGTCCGCACTGGGCGCAGCCTTCATCCTTCTGAAATCGGCGCTGGGGGCCGGCCTGCTCAGCTTCCCCTGGGCCTTCCACAAGGCCAGTGGGGTGGGCGCTGCCTTCCTCATAGAGCTGGTAAGCCCCTGCGGAGGGTGTTGGGGGGTTCCCGGGGCAGGATCCTCGGCAGTGTGTCTGCAGAGCTGCCTGTCTTAGTAACGCGCGTGTGTGGGGTTTGATTTCCTGCCCTCTAAACTCATGAAGGGAGAAGATAACTGTAGACCTGGGCAGAGAACACCCTCTACCTGCCTGGTCTGCTGCCAGCCAGGGCTGGGGGGGGTGG